AAGATACTTCCTTGGAAGAACCAGTGCTCCGTTCTCTAGCTCTGTGATATATGACAGTATATTTTTATTTTTTTATAAATTGGTGATGTCAGGGATTCTCTAAACACCACTCCATGATTTGTCTTACAGCAATGTCTTGGTATACATTGCTCTTCTGTTCTTGGTCAGTTCTTTAAAGTTAATCGTAGTCTTCTAATACAGCACAGTATGGCTTCTTTGGTTGGGCACAGAAAGAAGAGTAATCAGTTTCTCCTTTTCAGGTAGTTCATCTTGGAGCTCTCCAATTTCTCCTGGTTGTCCTGCAATTGTCATGCTAATCTTATTTGCTTACATAGCACTGACCTCACATCCTCCACATTTGTGCTCATGCAGCATGGTTATATTTTTGGTTGTTTTTTTTTTTGTTTTGGTTTGGTTTTCATTGTTTTTTCTTCCCCTGGGCTGATAGAGATTATAAACTTGCATATGAAATACCGATTGCCTGCACTAAATTAATGTGCATTAATTTAGTAATTAAATTAAACAACTGGCCAGGACAGGTGGTAGGTAATTTGTAATGGTGTTTCTTTTTTTCCTTTTTCAAAAATGTGATGACTTCTGAAGTGATACCACAATGTGCAAGTTTGGTATCTTTTCATGGCTTCTGCATGTACCATTCCTTCTGATAATGTTCATTAACTTGGATATTTGGTTGGGTCAACTCTCCACATCATTTCATGTTTTGTCACTGCGTGCATTAGTCTTGCTTCAGTATCTTATTTTTGGAGTAGTCCTCTCTTCCATTCAGTCATAAATACAAGTTCCTCTGTAAACAGTGATTTTTTTTAAAATTTTCCTGAGTAACAAGAGTCTTAAAAAAACAATTGTCTTTGAATGTTTTTACATATCTTTAAGATCTATTTGCCTCTCTAGGCTTAAGTGCCTGTGTTTTACACTGGTTTTACGAAAAGGTGAACTCGACCCTCGGGAATGCGGCGAGTCCCTGCGCTCGGCAGGCGTTGCCCGGCCCGAGGGACACGCAGCCGCCATTAGCAGCGCGGCGCCGCGGCTGAAGACTACATGTCCCGGCGGCCCCCGCGCCCGCCGCTCGCGGAGAGAAGATGGCGGCCGCCACGGAGCGCGTGGCGGGAGCGGCGCCGGCGGGTTATACGGGTGAGGGGTGAGGGGCAGCGGCGGGCACCGGGAGCGGGGCCGTCAGGGTACATGGGTGGATGGGGCTTGGGGCAGCGGCGGGCACCGGGAGCGGGGCCGGCGGGACACACGCGTGAGGGAGCTCGGGGCAGCGGCGGGCACCGGGAGTGGGGCGTCAGGGTACATGGATGAGGGTGCTTGGGGCAACGGGGGGCACCGGGAGCGGGGCCGGCGGGGTACACGGATGAGGGGCCACCGGGAGCGGGGCCGGCGGGGTACACGGATGAGGGGCCACCGGAGCGGGGCCGCGGCGACAGCGGCGTCTGTAACCGGTGCGTCCCTCGCAGCTCTGGCGGTGAAGTTCGGGGCGCGGCAGCGTTCGCCCCATTGCTTGTTGGTGAAGGAGCACCAGGTGCGGGAAGGGGCCGACACGGCGCACCCGCCTCGCCGCACGCTCTTCGTCCTCAACGTGCCCCCGTACTGCGGCCCGGTGAGTGGGGCTGGGGGTCGCACCGAGCGCGGGGGCGGCTGGAGGCCGAGGGCCTCGCCGCGGGAGCCGGCGTGTCTCGAGAGCAGCTGCGGGCACAGGAGGCGGCGTGAGGCGGGGTATCTGCGGGCAGAGCCGCCCGAAGTGTGCTGCAGTCTGTGCGTGAGAGGGCGGGGAGAGGCATCGCTCCCGCTTTGCTGTACCGCGTGTTCTCTCTTACTCTCCGTGTCAAGGATTCTCTGTCTAGGCTGTTCTCCCGCTGCGGGCATGTGCAGTCTGTGGACATCTGTGACAAGCCAGGGCCAGGAGAGAAAAAAGAAAAGCCGAAGTCCAAATTCTTCAACCGCAAAACTATAACGGTAAAGCTCGGGGGGCAGAAGAATACTGGTGCTTTAAGGGGAAAAGATGGCAACCACTGAATGGTTCTGTTTGGAACATGAAATAAAGGCAGCCATTTCAGGGCATCGGGTGACATGATTACATATTTAAGTTTATGTTATTTTTTTTCCTATCCCACTGCAATTTGTGGTTTGATTTTTATTTTACTTTTTAATGTTATTTATACTGCAACTCCATGCAGTTTCCCCAATGTATCTGACTGATCTGGGTGTCTTTTTCTTTTAGGGATTTCAAGTAGCATATGTGGTGTTCAGGAAACCAGCGGGTGTCCAGGCAGCCAAGGCTCTGTCACAGGAAGGTCCCTTGCTAATATCAACAGAGACCCACCCTGTGAAAACCGGCATTAGCAGTACGTCAGCCCTAGCTATCTTTCTACTAGCTAATATTAGGAAAAAACTATACTCATTACTTGCTGATTCCTACCCTGCATGTCCTATTTTGTACTAAGCTGGGAGATGTTCAGTGTTTTGTTGTCCTGCTTCTGTTATTGTACACAGGGTACAAATCTTATTGTACTGGGTATTGTAGTCTAGTCCAGTGACTGTATGGGAGAATGGGGTTGCTTGGAAGAGGGGGTTTTCCTGACATCTTTTCAGTATCATATAGATTCAGAGATACTGTCTGCATCTTGCCCTCAAAATGGAATCCAGACTCACTAACAGGCACCAGGTGTTTGTCAAGATGACAGCACTTCAGATACAACCCCTTGACAGGAACCCAGCCCTGAGTGTTGTACTCCTTGGGGTAGGGCTAGTTCACTTCTGCCAGGGAAAGTTGCAAACTCTGCCCATTGCTTGTTGGCTGTGCCCTCGGCCACAAGTCGGTTGATCTGTGGCAGTGGGGAAGCTGAACAGAAATGGGAACAGAGTCCTTACCCTGTAGCAGTTCACTCTAGAGCTGCCCAAAGGCATCTCACTGGGGCCTGCTTCTAACAGCGGCTACTGCTGACTTGTGCCCTCTCTGTCCCAGAGTGGATCGCCAGCTATGAGGCTTCTGTCGTGGATCCAAAGGAGCTTAAGGCTGAGGTGGATGCCTACATGCAAGACTATGACAAAAAGATGGCAGAGGTGAGGCCAGGCTGGGGAGGGAACCCAGCTAAGTGGTGTGTTTGGGGGAGAGGAAAGGAAGAGAGATTTCTCAGTGCCCCAGTCACAGTGGAAAAGGCAGAGGGTCCCAGTGTCTGGCAGAGGTCTTTTACTCTCAGTACCTGGTGGGCAGTCAGGCCCTGGTTTGGTTTGCAACACCTGATTCTTCCACTCAGGCCTTACAACAGGTATCCACAAATAAAGTCCTGGCTGGCATGCAGTGTTGTGACTGCAAGTTGAATACCTACACCCCTGGTGCCAGACCTTCCTTTAAATCTTGCGTGGAAGCAGGAGCTCTAGCTTTGCATGTATTTAAGCTAGGGCTGAGGGACCTGTGCATCAGGCTGGCTGGCAGCCCATCTGCATGCACTGAGCTGTCTTACCCTCCTGTCTTTACAGGAAGAAGCCAAAGCGGCCAAGGAGGAGGGTGTTCCAGATGAGGAGGGCTGGGTGAAGGTAACGCGAAAGGGCCGGAAACCTGGCCTGCCCCGGACAGAGGCTGCCAATCTGCGGGTGCTGGAGAAGGAGAAACAGAAAAGGGCCCGCAAAGAGCTGCTCAACTTCTATGCCTGGCAGCATCGCGAGACCAAGAGAGAGCGTGAGTGTCCAAGTCTCCTACCCCCGCCCATGTCTCTTGTCTCACACTGTGGCTCAAAGAACATCCTTCTTCCTTCCGCTGAAGGGGAGGCTACATCCAGCTGCTGCTGAACAGCTGGCTGGATGGGTGCGATTGACCTCACTAGCTCTTGAGAGGCCTCTTGCCACCACCTGTCCTAGAAAGGGCTGCTGGAATATTTTGTGGGAGAATGTGCAGGTCGTGGTATTCCAAGATGTTTATTTAGTCTGCACGAAGGCAGTGATTGAAGGGAGAAAATATCCAGTTTCCTCCCCAAGAGGGAGCTGCAGCACTGCCAGAGGTGAAGGGCCAGAGCCCCGGCTTGGCACTCAGCCCAAGTGTAAAAGGACCCGCTCTGGGAAGTGTGTGTTTGCAGCTGTTGGGACTGAGCCCCTCCTGGTTTGTGGAAGTGAAGCTCCCAGGAGAGGGAGATCTGTTGCTCCCGTGTGACCTGTTCTCTTTTTCCATGTTTTAGACATTGCCCAGTTGAGGAAGAAATTCGAGGAGGACAAGCAGAGGATTGCATTGATGCGAGCCCAGCGCAAGTTTCGGCCGTACTAAGTTATGCTGAGCTGTTCCTCAGGTGCCTGTGCTGGAGAGGATGGGAGAAGATGCCTACTGACTCCATTTGCCAAAGGATTTCAAGGACTTGAGGCAGCTTTGGGTTGTCTCTGCCCTTGGATCTGAAACGGGAGATCCCAGCAACTGCTGCTGGAGATGAGTTCTCTTTACTTGCACCAGTATCCTCCTGCTCTCCTGGCTGTTATTTGGCCCCGTGGCACCACTTCCCAGGGTGCTTAGGTCAGGGGGGCTGAGGCACATTCTGTGACAAGCTGTATCTCCCTGCCACCTCAGGCTCTCCTAAAGCTTGGTGAGAACTGGGATTGACCTAGCACAGCCTTTGCAGGGGCAGAGAATGGCTGAAGAACTGTAAATAAACTGCTGCTATGTTCTCAAAGCATGGGAATGCTTCTCTCTCTCACCCTAGTCTGCTGTGGGGAACAGCTTCTTGTGTGCTGGGCTGGCAGTAAAACTCATGGCTTGTAAGCTGGTGCTCCTTTGCACATTTTATCTGGGGATAAGGAGAGGAGGGAAGTGACTTTGGGAAAAGTCCAGCTGGAGAGATCCTTGTGACCTGTTGTCACAAGGAAAGATCAGTGGTTTGGTAAGTGCCCTACCACTTCCCTCAGTGATTCACTCCCTGGCAGTTCCCTCTCAGCCAGGTGTTGAGTTCCCCAGTCATCCAGCTGTGCGTGGAGCTGTGCAGCCATATCTGGGCCATGGGAAATGTCTGTTGTCCGACACTGTTGCAAGAACAAGTGCCACTTCAAGCAGCCTGGCCTTGGAATGAGAAACCAGACTCTCTAAGGCCTGTATCCACTTAACTTTTCACCAGCCCACAGAAGGCAGGGAAAGGTGGCAGCAGGCACATCTAGTTGTGGATCAGTGCTTTTGTACTGCACATATAACATCTGTGCAGCTTTGGACTTAGTGATAGGTCACCCCAGCACACTCTGTGATCAAAGAAACCTGCCCAGCCCCAGGCTTTAACACATTTATTTTACTGCTTGCAGCCTCAATGCAGGTGTGACCATGAATGTAAGGTGGAAGCGCTGGTAAATTCCACAGAGCTGATTTAAAATGGATTTACCTTTTCCTGGAAAGCCCACTGCAAATACAGTTTGCATTGCTTGTGTTGCTGCTTTAGTTGGCTTTTTGCATTAATTTAGCTGGGAGGCAGATCCTTAATATGCCTTATCTAAGGTGGACTGTATGTAAAAATTGCTGCCTCCTAAGATACGTTTTAGCTGCTTGGGTGAGCATCCCAAAAGAGAAGAGAGGTTCGTTCTCCTATTGAATCAAGAAGACGGACTTAACATTAGGAGATTAATCTTTATTTAGGACAGAAATCATCTCTGCCAACTTTTCCATAATTAGTAGCTCTAGCTGCTTCAGCTAGAAGATTAGTGACATTCATTAAAATGGGCTTCTGTGCCCAGGTGAGCTCTTATTTAAGCTGACTTCTAAAAAAAACACCAGCTCTCAGAGTAGAACAAAGACACTGAGGCCCTCTGAGCTCAGGCCCCTATGGAAGTAAGTGGAGAAGCAGAAAACTTCACTTGTTTTTTCATCAGGTTTAATCCTGGGAGCAGCCTGGCCACACCGTCCTCAGGGAGGAGGCAAGATGAGCCACCTCTCTTGCAGTGTCAAAGCTGGTGCTGCTGCTGTCACAGAGGATGCCTCTGCCTGTATTCCTGCACTGTTTCAGGGTGCAAATTTGGAACAAGCCAAGGGGAAGGCCACTTTGGGCCGCCATCCCTGTACTCAGAGAGCTGGAAATAGAGTAGGGATTCCTCTTCCCTTTGACAACTGAGATATTTTGCTCAGCTCTCCTTCAGAGAACCCCTGGCGGACATGCTTCCACTCTGCAGTGAGCTAAGCGCAGGAAAGAGTATCATGATGTGAGGAGTTGGATGTGAGGTAGGAATCGGACGATTCTGCCGGAGCCTGCTTTTTAGCTCCCAGTTCTGGACTGCTGCAGCCACTGGGGTTTCTTAGAGTCTAGCTCTAGTGTTCTGAACTGTCAGGAAGTTGCTGATGATCCCAGACACCACCTCAGGCTCGTTCAGGTGCACAAAATGACTCCCAGGCACCTCGACTAGCTGGATGTGCTGGACAGAAGGGACACAAGAAGATGTAGACTGGGAAAGTGGTCCCTCAGGCAAACACTGCTTGCTGTGACACTCATGGGAAGGGGCAGGGGCAAGGGAGGCAGGACAGGAATGGGAGGACCAGGGAAGATCTAGGTCCAGAGGGCAGTACTAACTCGGGACTTTGGCAGGAGGGGTAAGAAGCGTGAGGGCTGTGCCCTTCAGGACAAGTCACCTACTGGGGGGTGTCCACCAAGGTGAGCTGCTTCCCAGTTGCTGCTCCCAGGTCAGTGGCACATAGAGTAGAGATGCAAGGATGGTGTTTGCTCTCACCTCTTTGAGGGTAGACTCAAATGCCTCCCGCATGGCTTTCACAAAGTGATTTCTGCTGTGTAACTTGTGTGGTACCAAAAGTCCATCTTGTGATCTGAAAAGCAACAGCAAGGCTCAGTACAGCAGTGTGCCCCCATTTGACTTTGCTGAGGCCCTGGGTAGAAGCAGTGTCCCCAAGACAGTGGCAGGGGGGGTGTGTGTGACAGACCCAACTGTTCTTTCCAGGCTGCTTGTAAGCAGCCAGGTGACAGTGTCATACATGGTAGTCAGAGCACAGCTTGGCTAAGCAGTTATTTTCTATCACACTATCTGTGTAAAACCTTGGGTGACTGCCTAGTCGTATCAGAGTGGAGACTGGATAAATATTGTCCTCCCAGGGCTGCCTCCATAACTTATCTGGGAACATCATTCCCTGCCCCCGTTCTGTCTTCCTCCCTTAACTCTTTCCTTCCTTACAGTTTCCACATCTCGCCACTGTCCTTTTTGCCCCTCCATACTGCTGATTTAAACAGGGTGTGCCCTGCTTGGAGGGGGAGGTATGAAGGCAGTTTTCCAGGAGAAGCCAGCATTAGACCTGCAGAGCAAAGATCATGCTGTCTCCTACTGTGCTGCAGGTGATGGGACAAGGTGACATCCCAGACTCAAAGGCATGTACTCTCTGTGGCTTTGAGGACTTGGCCTTACCATGATGTTACATTTCTGGACAAGAAGGAATATCCTTAAGCTCTTATGATACTATAACAGGTCAGGGAAGCCAAAACTGCGCCTCATTTCTCAACTGCTACCACTTCCTCTTGTTTTCTAGACAATCTTTTAATAGCACCACACAGGCCAAGGTTGCCAGAGCCTGCACACCTTGCCCTCCAAGGAGATGGGGAAAATACAGAGGAGGACTCACAGAACAAGCTCTGGCCAGGGACAGTTTAACAGCTTGTAGGGCTCTGCGCAAGCCACTGGCCATGTCCCCAGGGCTTCTTGCCCTGGGCACCACAGGGGAGAGCTTGAAGGAGCTTGGTCAGTCCAGGGGCTCCAGGACCAGCTGGAGGAGGTGGAGGCTGCTGTAGTTTCACCTGTTTGCTCAGGCGAGAGGTTCTGGGGTCTGGAGAAGGGGGCAGGCTGGGTTGCTGTCCCTGAGGAAGAGTCAGCTCAGGAGGACAGTAAGTTGGAGTGATGCTGTGGAGGGTCACATATTTGCCAGGATGGCCCCCTGCTGTAGGGTCAATGGGATCATGAAGCCAGGAGGGTGGGGAAGATGGGACGGGACTAGCATTTCCTCCCAGCTTTGCACCAGGGAGACCCAGCCTGAAAGCAGAGTGCCAGGCTGGAAGGATGTTCCAGTTTCTCCTGCCTGTTCCAGGAGCCTGCCTAACACAGGGCAGTGGTGGGAAACTGGAAAATACTTCTCATATGTGAGGTTGTACTGTTGTGCTAACTGGCCAAAGATCTGGGTGACTGCTCTAGAGGGACGGGTAGTGGAGGACTCCTTCCTAGCCTTCATTTCTTCCACCAAGGGAGGCAGCAAGAGCTGGTTTGGGTTATGCCTCACTCACACAATGATGAGAACACGGTCCTGGATCTTCTGCAGGAGCTTCACACACTGATCCACTGTGAGGGACTCTCGACTCTGCTGCAGGTGCAAAAAGAGGGAATGTGGCAGAGGTCAGGGACAGCAGCTGAGGGCAGAGGGTATCCCTAAGCCCTCCTGCTCTAGAGGCTCTGAAGGTAAAAGTAGCAGTGGCCCCAAAGCTTCCATGCTGGGACATGATAAGTGTCCAGAGCTGTGCACAGGAGTAGTTGGCTCTGCAAAGGCTCCTTCTGTCCAGCTGCATTCCAGGGCTGCCAACAACACTGCCTGCTGGGATGCAGCACATACGGGAATGATCTCATAGCAGAGAAAAGCTTTAAATATCCTTTTACTAAAAACGAGACAGTACACTACCCTGGCTTCCATATCTGGCAGTAGCACAGGTAGAGGAGGCCCTGTTTGCTCAAAAGTGGCACAAAACTATCAAAATATCAAATGTAAAGACTTTGCTCAACTCTTTTCCCCTTCTTATATGGGTCACCTGACAAAGAAGCTGACAGAAAGCATCCATCCATCTGCTGCCTGAAGAGTCATAACAGCAGGAAAATGTGGCCAGAGGCCCTGGGGCAGAAGAACTTCTAAAAAAAAAAAATCAGTAACATTTTCCACTGACTCTGTAAGTTGAGTCAATGATCAAGTGCAGGCTCTTTTAACAGCAGCATTTAAAGGAGACGTGGGAATTAGGGAAGCAGAAAGTAAATGGCTGGGTGAAGGCAGAGCCTGGGCTCACTGAGCAGGCCTCCACTATCTCTGAGTTTTCTGTAAGCTCAGGGCTCAGAAGTAAGAAGAGCAATGCTCACCATACGGGCTCTCATGTCTCTGTTATATACCAGCCCTGGAAAGAAAAACAACAGAAGGTTTTCATGTCTCACAGGAGCAAGAGTTGTTCTGGTTTTCCTCACTTGTGGGGTCTGTCCAAGACTTTCTGAGATAGGGAAACAGTGTTAATTCAGATTTCTCCTTTTTTTTGATTTATTTTCTTTAGCTGTTCCAGGACTCGAGCACCAATCCCAGTTGCTAGAAATGGAGAGCTCCGCCTCCAGACTTAATTGATCCCATTCAGGCTGTGTAAACTCGTAGCTAGGGCATCCTGTACTCTGCAGAAGACAATGGCTACTGGCACCAGTCCCTTCCCACACCCAACGCTGGCCCAGCACCACGCAGCCCCTTACCAGCGGGTGTCTCAGTTGCTCCTCGCTGCAGCAGGATTGCTCCACCCTCTGCTGTCAGATGGCTGTTCGCTTCTAAGAGCCTGGGGGAGACACGGCAGAGAGATAGTGCTGCTGGAAAAGGGAGGAAGCAAAACAAAAATGACATGACAAGGTGACAGCAAGCTCTCAGGCTGCTTCAGAAAGGAGCGGGATGAAGCAGCAGCTTCTGGCAGCAGAAGCAAAAGGTCTTCCTGAGATTCCACAGGAGGACTTGAAAGAGGAAGTGCAGGGACAGTTTCCCTTTCTCATTCTTTCAGCCGTAACTGTCAAGGTGAGGGCAGGCAGCAAATGAAGAGGAAAGATGGGGCCTCACCTCTGCAATGCTGCTTCAGGGCTCCGTGCTTTGGGAGTTTGCTCCTTTGCCTCTAGACTCAGTAACCTGTCAATCACCCTCCGTTTAGATTTCAGCCATGCCTCAGTGTCCTGAAACACAGAGAGGGAGAGGAGTAACCCCTCTCTTCTGAATCATTTTACCCCCTATCAGCTGGTAGAAGAGGGAATTTCACCCTTCAACATCCCCCAGAACTGGTACCAGTTATGGATATCCTATTAAAAAATGCCCATTTCTGGAAAAAAGGGAACATCGATACTGCTGTAATGAACTTACTTACTTTTTACCCTTACAACCTTTTCTAACTCTTCCTACCTCACTTCTGAGTTGAGGACAACTGTCCAAAATTTGGTATCTCTGACCCAGGGCTTCTGTCCCACTTCTGCCAACCAAAGCTCCAGCATCTGGTAGCAATGATGGCAAGTTGGGAATGTAGCTTTATGTCCTGCCAGGAACAGAAAAAGAAATCCACCAGTCTTGCACCTAGCTCACCCAACAAGCCACTGGCAAAAAGAAAACCTCAGCTGGCGGCTGCCTGGACAGAGGTTCCACTTCCCTTTGTACACGGGCACGGCACAGACAATTTTGGTGCTAAGGGACTGCATCATATGGAGCACTGCCAAGGGTCCTTCAAGGGCCACCCTAAGTAGGGACCTCAGTCCATGCAACAAGGAGCAGATCAGTGCCTGCCAAAAGGAAGAGCCTGGGACGTGTGTGACCTGCCAGGAACTGGTCACATCGGTGCTTTCTCTGAACAAATGAAGCAAAGAAAAAAACATCTATTTTTGTATTTAAAAAAAGCGAAGGGAAGGACACATGAAATCTAACCTCTGGAGCTAGCAGAAAGCCAAGACTTTCCAGCAGGATCAGCTTGTCCACCATCTCAGGATAAAGGAAGCAGAACTGGAGAGATGAAACAATAGGAGAAAGAAAAGCTGAGCACTGAGTGATGTCTTTATCCTGCTACATGGAAGAGAGGGTCTGGGAAGGGCCTCTCCTCCCAAGATCCAGGTCCCACACTGTCTGTCTCTTCATTCCTCTCCCATTTGTTGTTGCAGCTGCAGAAATCACAAACCCCACGAAGAAATGATGCTTTACTCACCATTCCTGCCACAGCTCCTCCTGTGAAGGAGAGAAGGGTGCTCAGTTATGCCCAGAACAGCCCCTAGTAACAGAAATTTCCCTTCCCCACAGCAGGAGCAGCCTGAGAAGTAAAAATGCACAGTGTACCACAGGACAAAGCCAAAGTACAGGATAGAGCTCTCTCAGCAGACAGGCTGCAGGCATAGAGCAGGGCTGTTGGCTTGCTGTATTCCCCATCCTGTGCCATCCCCGTCTCCCTCTCAGGCAGCAAAGGCCAAGGAGGAGTTACTAGTTAAAAGGGTATGGTGTGCAGGTCCTGTGAGCTGTGGCCAGAGCAGCCTTGGGGAGCAAACCCCATATTGTGGCAAAACCAAATCATGTTCCAAGCACAAAGGGGTGGAGCCTGGAGTCCAGTTCCCCTCAGGAAGCTTTATAGCCCACCAAGATGGGAACTCTGTTCCCAGGCTTTGTGGGGACCAGGAAGGAAGGCTGTGGATTCTCCTTCATAGACCACCTCTCTTTGCCCATCACTGTTCCTTCCTGGGGGTGGGGAAACGCCCACAGCAAGAGTTACCACTGTTTGTACTACAGGGTCTTGAAAGCAGAGGCATTTCAGACAAGGGCGCAGATTTTTGAATCTTTTGAATTTTTTCCTTTTCAAGCAGGAACCTGGTACTTGACACAATATAATAAATATTCTAACCCAGCTCCTAGCGGCATGTCTTGTAAGTTAATTATCTACTCCTATTTCCATGAATCTCACAGCTTACAAGGACAAGAGCCACTTACCCATACTGTGACCCATCAGGGTGAACCGTCTCCACTGCAAGGCTAAGTGGCAACAGACAAAAACAGATAGTGCTGCATTAGAAACCAGAGTAGCAGCATCTTGCTGCTTCTCCACCAACATGGGCCCCTTCTCCCAGGAGGGCTTTTGCACTGCTTAATTGCTTCTTAATCCATAAACTAGGTGGCTAAGTAGGCCGATTTTAAAGAAAAAATGCATTCACCACTTCATTTTGTTGGTAGTTAAGATGTGCAGCTCTCAAGCTCTCTGTATGTCAAACAAACTCCAGCAAATTCCTGTTCACTGCCAGACATGAGACTGGCAAGAAGCAGAGGAGCCTAACCAGGCAGCATCTGCTGAAAGAGAGAGACCTTGACAGAGCATCCCGCTGCAGGGTGTTCTGCAAGACAACTGAGGACACAGAACCAGGTCTGCTGCTTTGAGGAAAGTACAATTATTCCATGTGAAAATTCTCTACGCCATTTAGCACATCAGGCTCTTCAGTCCATTTTTAGGGCACTCTGAGAGGCTTATAGGAAAATACAGCTTTTTCAGTTCTTCCCATCTGAAATATACCTCACTGAAAGAGGAGTTTTACCCTCTGGAACATCAGAGAACTTCTAGAGGTTCTTTGTGTACTGAATAAGGGATGCAAAACTGTATGTGCCACAACCTCCTGCGAGATCAGCATACAGACAGTTACATCAGGAGTTATTAGGAGCACAAGACACTCTGGCTTTCAGATTTCTTTGTATGATACTAAAGCAAGCAGCAAGCTGCCATCAGAGAGAACCAGAAGAGTCTCCAGCTTACACCTAGCACTGGTTAGAGGTCACTGGCTGCTTACAAAAAGTCAGTCTGGCAACACTACTTAGTTGCATCCACCACTTCACCACTACTGCTCTTTTTAGTATAGAAACACTTGCTGCCCAGGGCTTACTGTCTCTTCCTCTAGCAAAACAGTGAGAAAGCAGGACGCTTATTCAGTCACAAAGCACTGGCTAACATCAAACAGGATAAATAGGGGGAATTGATTCCTTCCTAGCAGTAAATGCTGCCTGCTTGTTGTAAGGAGCAGGAGCAATATAGCTCCCTCTGCACGAGCATCCCCTGAAGGGTCCCTTCAAATACCTACCGTCTGCCACACGGCGCACATCAGTCACATAATCCAGGAAATGGTAGGGGCAGCCGGCAGGTCGGTGGGATGAAAAACCATGGCCAGAAAAATCCATTGCCACATAATAGCAGCCTGAAAGGGAGAGAGTATAAAATGTGCAGCCCTGACACACAATAAAAGCCATCCTGATGAGCCAGACTTACCTCTGGGGAGCAATGGAATGAGCTTGTCAAAGGTGTTGGCATTGTCTAGCCAGCCATGCAAACACAGCACAGGATGTCCCTCCAAGGGTCCCCAGGCCTTGGCTGCCACGTGGCCCCAGGGTACAGGGAACTTCAACTCTGAGAACATGCCCAAAATAGGGTCACCGGAGAGCCACGTGCTTGGGAGTAGGTCCCAGGGGTCTTGTTAATGGTCCAAAGCTCTGAGAAGAATAAAACAAGTCTTTAGTAACTCACCAGCCTCCTGTGGTCTTAATTAGCAGCTTGCTGATTTATAGCTCCCCGTTCAACATCCCAAGCTGCCATTCCTGACTGCCTGTTTGGGGAATCCTCCTCCCAGCACGTACTAGCAATGTTCCTAGGAAGAAATATGCTTTCCCTATGCAGGAGGAGAAAGCCTCCTGTCTGTCTCTGCAGCAGCTGCAACCCGACCAGAAGGCACAGGAGATCTGGCAAGAGGGAACAATGCAGAATTCCCCCAGTTAGCTGCAGTCAGCCAGGCACCTGTCCTGGACCAGAAAGACGGTTTGGGGAATGCTGCCTCCAATAGTAGACTGTTACCACCTTGTTCACTTTTACCTTGGTGTTTCTCACTTGCACCACCAGTCGGCACCTTCGAGAGAGCAGATGGCTCCGTGCCCCACAGCTGCCACCTGCCCGTGCACCCCTCAGGGCCAGGGACTGTGCACGGAACACAGGTCCACAACTGGCCAGGCGAATCTGCTCAACCTCAAACTTGTCTCATTACTGTCGATGTGCCAGGTAATCATGGAGCTACACCTGACCTTTGCTCAACCCCCAGCTCCTGAGTGAACCCCCCAGCACTACCCAGCCTCTGGAGACCCTCCAATAGTGGTTTGAACACTTCTCCTTTACCCACAAGCCCTGGGCCCCCTTACAGACAACCTGACTATTCCCATCCCCAAGTGTCTCATGCCATATCCCCTATCTTGTGTCTCTGCTCCCTTAAATAGCCCCCCGAGACTGCACTGCAATTAAATCACTCTACAGCAAGTCCTTCCTGAGCCCATATCTCTCTAACGCATGAGGACAGAGGGGTTAGGCTGAGAGGGGAGGCTGCTGTCAGGGCCCTAATGGTCCCAATCAGCCAAACCTGGGGCTCTCCACGACCCTGTTTAAGCTCAGCCCAGGACCAGCCTCAGCAGTGCTGCAGGAGTGCCAGCCTCCACCAACAGCACCCTCCCTCAGGAACCGTGGCCATGCCTGCTGATCACGGGGCTGTGTCTGATTCCAGCTGCCCTCGCCGGGCCAGATCCTGACAACCAACCGCGGGCTGACTTCCCGGTGTGACCGCGGACCTGCCCCTTCCTGATGATCTGGGCTCCCGGCAGAGCCTGATCGCCCTCCCCGGGCAGCCCTGCCTGGGCCCGCGGGGCTCCGGCCCTGGAGTCCCCAGGGGCCCGGGCTGGGGCCTCCCCAGGCGGGCAGGAGGCGTTGCTACACCCAGACCTTCACCTCAGGGCGCCCTGGAGGGCGCGGTCCCGACCCCGGGGAAGGGCTGCCCGGGGACCGACACCTGCTCGGCGCCCAGACCGACCCCGCAACGCTGCGGCCGCCCCTGCCCCGCTCCCCGCGGCCCCCTCCTACCGCTCCGTGAGGCTGAGCTGAGGCGGCGGCAAGAGGGCTCGGCCCGGCGGCAGAGCAGGGCGGGCCGGCCCGGCTGCACCGCCCCGCTCCCCTCCCCGCGGCAACCCGGCCTCTGCCCCCGCCTGTGTTTGGATCAGGCTCAGTGAGAGTAACCAGAAGTTAACGAGGTCTGTGGGGTCTGAAGCTGAAAACAACCTCCTGGGCATGATAGGGAGGAATCAAAATCAGGGAGGTACGGCTGCATCTCTGACTACCTTCAGAAGACACATTACTGACAATAGAAACTGCCTGTACTGTGGTGACACAGTGTGAGATGTTTTAACTGTGACCCAGGACTTCATAATGACATCAAACAGGCTCAGTGCTTGACACCGACACTGAACTTCTGTCGCTCTCTGATAGAGAGACTCTTCTGAACTCCTAACACTTGCTGGAATCATGTTGCTCCAGGGACAAGAGTCACCTTCCCATACTGTGACCCATCACAGCGAACTGACTCTACTGCGGGGCCAAGCTGCCACAGATACACAGTGGACAGCACTGCCTTAGCCGCTCTGTTCCTCTTCTGTAAAAACAGACCCCTCTCACATGGAGAGGTTTCTATATAGTTTTCCTCCTTAGTTGCCCAGTTGCCCAGAAAGGTGACGGCTGCATGGACCGAGTTTCAAGACAGTCAACACCCAGGTATGGCTGTTTGCTGGTGCCTTGCACTCCCTCCAACAGTCAGTCTGCTAGGCCTAATGCAGACCACAACCATTTCTCTTCAGTCAAGGTCTCTGAAGTCAAAGGAAGCAAAGTCAAATTGCGTTGTGAGCAGTGGCACACCTTGCTGAAACAGTTGGAGAGAGCATAATGAATGTCTGTTCGTAGGGAGTCATTTTTATACTGATAATTGAAAGCCCTCTGCTCAGTTCAGCACATCAGTCTCCTAAATTACACAATACATTTTCAGAACAGCCTAAAAAGCTTGAAAGAAACCAGTGTAGAAGCTTACAGCCCTGTTTCTCCTGCCTAGCTCAAACTCATCCTGGCAAAATAGGCTCTGCACCACGGCAGTTGAAAGATAACCTTGGGGACCCATTACTGAGAAGAAATAAGAGTGCTATGCAGCTCACAGCCTCCCCTCCAGGTGAGCCATTAGAAAGAAAATCAGAAAATTAATTTTTACAGGTTTGGAAAGTCCAGCGTATTGCTTTTTCTTAGGCCTCTATGGTGGAGGAGTGGGAAAGCAGACTACAAGTGCTGGGGAGACTACAAGAGAGAGAGAGGCCACAGTACCTTCTATAGTTTCTTTCCTGCAACTGTCAGAGGTGGGTGGCTGATTACAAAAGGTGAAAAGTGAGAGACAGTTTGGCAGAACAGATTTGTGGAATGAACTCAATAATCAATCACTGCAGCTGTTAGCAGAGGGCATGGCCCTCCTGTGCATTGTAGGAATTTCTTCAAAAGAAGCCATCAGAAGGCAGTGTAATTGTTAGGCAGTGGCTGCTGCTAGGCTTGTGTTTCTTCAGTCTGTGGCATGACTCTTGAGGAACAGGACCCCGTGTCATGAGCATGAGTTATGCAGACTCTTTGCACAAACCTCAGAGGTTGATGGAAAAACAGGCCATGGCCAGGAAAATCCATTGCCACTCATGAGCCAGATCTGCTCTGGGGAGCAGTGAAATGAGCCTGTTGAAGGTGGTGGCATTGTCCAGCCAGCCATGCAAGCACAACACAGGTTATCCCCAGGCCTCAGCTGCCACCTGTGTTTGGGGCATTGGGAACTTCACCTCTGAGAACTTGTACCCACAAGCAACATCCTCTGAGTGCTAAATGCTGGAGCTGGTCCCAGGGAGCTTGTTAACAGCCAAGAGTTCTGGACAGAACTTGTAGGTAGGCGGTAGTTATCTGTCAGTTCTGACCTCTACCTAATACCAGTTTTTGGACACAAGCCTTGTTTGGGATAATCCTGGTGTAAATCCATATACCTGGTGGTATATGCATCACCACCCATAGGTCTTGGACTCTCTCCTCCACCACGTTGGGCTCTCTCCCCGACTGCAGCAGCCAGTAGGATCTGGTCTCTCATTGCTTTGGGTCACAGAGATGACTCTGGGGCTCAGGTGGGAATAATGCATTCTCTAGTGAATGCATTCTCTAAGACTCCTGTGACCTGCATCCTTAAATCACTTCTGGTAGGAGGCTCCATCAGCAGTCACCTCAGGGAAAAGGAAAAATTCCTCACAGAAATTATCAGGAATAAGTGATTTCTGATAGAGCTCCAAGTGGAGGAAGTTGCACTGGGATGTTCCCTGGACCTTCCCCTCCGTGGCAGGACTGTCATCCTATTAGCCAAAGCCAGATTGTGGAGCTGTCCTCCAGGTCCCTCATGCCTTCTCTAGCAATGTTACTCACCCCTCTGACAGAGCAGCCCAGCATCTCACAAGAGTGTGCATCTGCCCCTGCACAGCCTGGAAAACCAAGCCCCAAGGGAAGGGCCCTATGTAGGATGCACGGCAGAATTTGGATGTCTCACAGAATTCATTCTGCTGCATCTACTTCTACAAAGTGCTGCAGGCTACTGCAGTGAAACTGTTGCCTGTGGAGGACCAAATTAGACTCCATCTGGAAAGGTGCTGAGGCGTTGGCTGGGCTGCACTGGGCTGGTGGTAAGAAAGGCTGGTTTTGCATAAAGAACTGGGAGTTAGTTTGAGATATCCCATGTGCTTAGCAAAGGATAATTTAACCTCTATATCCTTGCAAAGGAGCAGGAGACCTGCAAAGATGAACTCTGGGGCACGCAAAGCTGTTATGCTCCACTGACTTGCAATAGCATTGATCAGTTTGTGCTTGCTGCAGATCTGGTGAGGAAACTTTAAGACAGCAGATTGATTGCTACCAGGGGACAAATTCCCCATAGCTGGTTAGATTCAAGCACTGAAGTACTGACATATTGATCTATTTATGTTGATTTATTAGTAATAGCCCTGTACCCCAAATCCTCTTGTGCAAGTAAAAAACCCCCACACTATTGCTAGCTTAACTGATTTCTTTCAGAGGATATATATAGGACACACCTCTATATAAAGCCCCACGTTGTGAGCATATGCTGCAATCTATAGTGGGCAGGATAATCAAGGTGATCACAGGGCAGCATGTTATAATGCAACCAGCTCCAACATGCTGGCTCACATCCACAAATCTTGCTTGCCTTGGAGATGGTCCCAAGAAATCTTAAGGGTTTAAGTGGGCTGCCCATGTGGGAAGAGCTGAGTAGGATATGAACATCCTGCCACCGCTGGGCTCTGTTCGACAGCAGCAGATCCATCCAGGTACTTCGTGTGGTGTATTTTTTTCTTTGGTTTTCCTTAATTTCTTGTTGAATTTCATTTATGTGAATTTCTGAATGACTGAAAAAGCCACTCACATATTAAGAGCAAAAAAACTGTGATGGTTTCAGCTGGTTTCTCTTCCCTTGCTCCAGTCCTGTTGCGCTCCTTGTTCCAGAGCTCTCCAGCTGTGCAGAAAGTGGGAGACACATATAGCTGCTGGCTCCCACCCCCCACAGTCTGAGGCCAATATGATAGTTTAAATGGAAATCTTTGTTTTAAGCCAAGCTATGAGTGGTTGAAAAAGTGGAGTACCTCTACTCCAGGGATTAACCTGCAGCATAATTTGGATAGTGGGGCTGCTGGAGTGTTAAATCATCCACACATGAACCACCAGCATTCAGCTGGAAGCAGCCCTAGGCACACACCATGCATCAGGTCCAAGTGGTGCACATTTGCATCACTTCATTTGCAACTAATGAAATAGCTAGAAACATTTATTGCATATAAATTATATATGAGCACCTATCATACAAATAAACTGTTTCCAGTCTCAGCTTTCCATTTCCTCATTAATCACAAAGTCTATTACATTTGGGACAGATTCAGGAGTGTCTGCTGGTTCCCATCCCCTGGGCCTGTTTTGGTTAACTCAAGAGGTGAGCTACTCTCCAGATCTCTACAAAGCCCATACACACCTTTAGAGTATGCACCTATTCTAATGTATGAAGTGGTAGGGGAAGCAGAGAAGTTTCTCTCCAGCTCTTGTCTAGAATTAAACTTCTTTCACTTGGAAAATCTGGCAGATTCCCCATAGGCCGAGATGAAATAATAGCAAAAACCATAAGTAATCTGACACTTGTAATTACAGGCCTACCAGCTCCTTATTGACCTCAGAATAAGGAAATAGCACATACTAGGATCATTTAAAAACAAGGGAAGAGTTCTAGTTAACAGTAAGTCTCATGTGTTTATGGAAAAGAATTCATAAAACTGCTTGGAAACTTTTTGAGATGTAAGTTATAGGTTTGGGTTATGGATTTGACTGACAAATGTAAAAGCTGTTGAAGTAACAGGGCTCTAGCAAGGAAACTGACACAGTCTTACACTGTATTTTGATTTTTAGAAAACAGGAATGATACAAAATCAACACATTTTGTAGTAATAATTGATTAGATAGTGTCAAAATGTTAAAGTTGATACAAGCATGTAACGGGTGTTTTTGAAACAGCCCAATGGTGAGTTGCTCCACCCAACCCACACCTTTGGTCTGGCAGCTCTGTTTGTGGAAGTGACTCTGGCGAAGGATTGACTCACGATGTAGGAGCAGCTGAGTGTGAGCTCCCAGTGCAGTCAGAAAGGCTAATTTCCATTCCAGATGTATAAGCAGGGAATGCAGAACAGGTGTAATGAGATTATATTGCAGGAGATTATATTGTGTCTGCTAATTCCATGGATGTGATTAGTGGTGTGAAAGAATTCCCAGTTTTGACATCTATGATTCAATGAGGAAGGTAACAAGTTGGAGAGGCTTCCTGCAAGAACTCTAAGCCCTGTTAAGGAGTTGGAAGACATCTTATGGGGGATAAGCATTTAGGACCGTTATGATCAAAGCCTAAGTATACCTATGTAGTGTTACATTTTTGCTCCTCCAATTGCCACACTGCCTAACAATGGTACAAGAAAAAAACAGTCTAGAGATGAGGTATGCGTTTTATAATGGAGAAAAGAGTTAAATACTTGAGCAGTTTACTTAGGGTGCTGGCAGCTTCCCAAACACTGGCAGTTTTTTAATGAAGATGGGATGTTTAACAAAACAACAATGATTAATGTGACAGAGTCCTTTGTCCTGCGATCATCTGGAAAGCAGAATGGTCTGGAAATTCGTCTAGTGCAACAGACACTGCTATCAGATGGTACTAGCCTGCAGTGCTTCTACTACAACTGCTCCCAAAATTATAGCCCTTGCATTTTATGTAATTTTATTTTATTTAGGGCCTAAATTTCCTCAGCTGAGGAAGCCCCTGCTTCTAGGTCCAGCAATGACTTAGGAACCTTCTGCTGTGGGGTCTGTATCTTGGATTGCTCTCTGTGCTCCTTTGGGGTGGCCTCTCATGGCTGTTTTTGTCTACTTTGGAGAAATGCCTGAAGTGAGTGAACTCAGTGCCTGTGTCCTGTGAGTGGGGTTCAGCATCACCACCTGATTGTCTGAGGGGACAAATCTGGGGAAGCATGGGCAGGACTGAGGCTACGTGATCCAAGTGAAGGATTCTGAATGGAAGGATTTGGGCAAGGTCCACCAATTTTGGACAACTCTCCACGAACACATCCTGAAAATGTGGGATAACAAGGAGAGGCAATAGGCCTCAATGACACAGTGAAATCCTTAACTGAACTTCTACCTCCATGTCTGGTGGGCAGCAGTGTTAGGAGGAGTTAACCTCAGTCCATCATGGATTTATGGGGCCACAAAGCCCCAGGGAGCTCACACCTGAGTCCCTTGGTGCAGCGAGCTGGTTTCTCATTTCCTCTGTCCTGGCTCATCCTGTTACTGCTCTAGTGTATTTGACATACAGGGCAGATTCAGAGATGAGGGAGCAGTTTGCCATGCAGTTATAAAAGTCTGTTTTCTCTGCAGCTGCTTAAATCTGACCTAAATACCTTCCAGATTATGCAGCCTGGTGCTTTGTTTCAAAACCTAGAAGGTCACTGTCTGCTGGGTCTTCCTCCCTCAAGTGAACCGGGGGCATGTACTGGCAACGAGTGAGAACTCGTGTTCTGCCGCGGCTATGGGGGAAAGCCAGAACAGCAGAGGGTGTTGCGATCTGGAACGAAGGCGCATCGGCAGTGGTGTGCGGGGTGCCCACCCTCCAGCCCTCCGCGACGCGCAGCGTCGCTGGGTAGGGGAGCGCTGCAGCCCCGTTCCGGAGCTGGCAGCCTGCAAGCAGCGGCACAAGGCTCCCCGCAGCCGCGCGGGGTCACCTCGCTCTGGGCAGCCCCTGCACCTTCGCTTTCCTGGAAAGCAGCTTCTCTTCGTTACTGAGAAGAGCCCTGCTCTGGCAGGGGAAGGAGGGGCCTGGCCACCGCTTCACGCAAAGGGGCCACTACTTGTGCTAATTTTTCTCATAACAGTGGAACTAATACAGCATCTGCTCGCTGGAAACCACAGAAAGCTGTTTTTGTTTGTTGGGGGGTTTTGTGTGAGTTTGTTTTTTTTTTTTTTTTCCTTGGGGGGAGCAGAGGGAGGGGGCTGGGGATTTTCCTGTGTTGGTTTTGTCCTCCTGGCTTTCTCTTTTTCTGTTGTTGCTTGGTTGGTTCTTTTTTTTTCTTCTTAGTGCTTTGCTGTTATCACCTCCTAAAAGGAGGCTTTTAGCAAGTTAAGAGAGGGACCACCTAGAAAGGGAAGGAAGGGTCAAAAGGGAAAAACAAACGAAGAATGAATGCTTTTACATTTTGTACTGTTTGCAGGATGGACTTGCAGCACATCAGGAGATGATGGCAGTCATTTCCTAACCACTCCCCAAGCATCCTTCCATCCTCCTCTCTGTACAAAATCTCATGCATTGCCTGCATCACCTCTCATGCCAGGGTACCTAGGCCTGCACTGTGCTTTCTTCTCTCCCTTTCCTTTCCTACTTGGCAGGAAGCCCCCAGGTTATGTCTGAGCCACTTGGTCAGCTCCATCCTCACGGCAGCTTCACTTCCCACTCACATCCCAGCCAGAAAGCCAATGTCCACACAACACCATGTTTGGGTCTGGCTGGAGGCCCAGTAAGGCACCGAGATCCTAGGCAATTGGTCACCTGTCATCTGGAAATGATGCTCCAGCCCCAGCTGAGCTTCCATTCACAGGTTTGCTGGCTGAAGGGCAAGGCAGTACTGACATATGTAACACATTACCCATCTCTCCTCTCCTGTGCCCTCCATATTCTCCTTTTTTTTTTTTCTATATCGCTTTTCCTTTCTTCTGCAGATTTTCAGTGCTTCATTATTTCCACCCTAGTTCTTTCACCTCTCCCCTCCTCTGGGCCAATGTTTGACTTTTTCTTTCCCAGAAAACCATCTCTATTCAGTAGTTTGCAGTGACCTGCTCCAAAATACCTTTCTTCTTCCCACACACCCCAAACTGACAGGAGTAAATAGGCAGATTGTAGCTCTTTCTACCTTATGCAGGCTGTAAGGAATCTGCACGCTGAGAAGGAGCAAAGCTGTTAGGGTGTTACTGGCTCTTGGGCTGTTGGATATCAACATCTTATAACTTACCGAAGACTTGGGGTTCACTGAAGAACGAGCAGAGAAATGCTACAAAGTAGAACTATGATCCAAAGGAAGAATGAACT